TTTAGCGCTTAAATTATATACCCGAAGTTATACGGTAGTAAAATATAATCGATAATAAGTAATATTTAATCGTAGAGCCGGTTAAAGCGTTTTAAGCGTAAGATCGGATTAGGAATCCTATATAGAATTAACGGTAAAGTATAAATTATTAATATTATAGTGGTGCGGTGGATCTAGGCTACGTAGCCTTTTCGATGTATATTTATATAGGTCGCGTACTTATATTTTCATTAGCCAGACTAAGACCTATAGATATTAGAGCCTATAGCTATTCACTCGTTTTCTTGCCATGCCTTTCTAGCCTTCCTCGTCTTTGCCTTTCCAGTCCCTCTTTCCCAGCTGCCGTTTTTAGCTAGCCGATTAACCGATTATAGCTATTTATAGCTATAATCTTGGTTAATCGGCACTAGGCTAGTTATTAGTAGTTAGGCAGTCCTTATTTCGTGCCTCCGTTAGCGTACCTACGCTGCTCCTATTTAGTAGCGACCACCTAGTAGCTCGTCCTTACCTCAGCCTTAGGAGCGACCTTTTAATCGACCGTTTTTGCAGTCAATAGGTTCAGGATACGACGATCAGGAGATTCCTTGTTTTTCAGTTAATCAGGAGCTGTTTTCGTAGCTCTAGAGCCGTCTTTTTTCGTAGCTTTCGGATTAAGCCTTTTCAGGTAGCTGGATCAACAGGAAGGGCAGATAACCATAGCGACCATCAATAACCACGCCCTCCTATTAGCTTTTAATCAGCTTACTGTAGTGGTACGGTAAGACATGCCCTCTTGATACATTACGTAATACGTTACGATAGGCCTTATACCTATATAGAATAACCATAGCTCCCGTAAGTACGGGATATACCATGCTTATTATTTAGTTTATTACCTAGCTAGATTACTATCTTTACTATTTTTACCTTAATTAAAGATTCGTTTTTATCATTAGATTCGTCGTTCTCCGATTAGTATATTTATTTTAGTTATAGGCGTTTAAGTTACTTTGTCGTACCGCTATAGCCGAATAAGTAACTTTTACGTTTTGCCCCTTTTTTCCCCTTACCTCTCATACTTTCGGGCTAGCGACTACTATATCTCTACGACCAAGGAATATAGCTAAGATACGATAACTACATTAGATTCCTTGCCTTTCGATTAATATAGCGACACTAGTTTCATTTATCTTAGACCATCGTACGTACTATAGTCTTCGATAAAGTGCGCTTTCGAGTGAACCTATCCGGGTCTCTAGCATCGCGTACGCTCTGCTCCTCCTCATTACCTAAAAGCTCGTTCGCCGATCAGTGGATCTATCTTATTCTCGTTTCTCAGTTATCTCTTTTAAAGGAGCTATACCCGTTTTTACCCGGTTTCGCCTTCGTTTTTAATAGTACCTAGATGGCAGTTTTCTCGCCCTTAGTTAATCTGACTAAGTTACCGCTACTACCCCCTTTTTATAACACGCGCTTAAAGGCATTCATTCTTTACCGATCGATTTATTTCAATTATAAAAGGCTTGCCGATAGCTCCGATCGCCCTTGTTTTATCCCTGCCAGCCAGTTACGGCACCTAGGGAGGTTTCTCCTTAACCGATAAGGTATTACGATGCCCTTAATTACCATACGAAGATACCGACAGACCTTATACCTACGCCATAAGCCTGATCGGGGACGTACCGATCAGGATCAAGAGACCCATATAAACGATACCGCGATATACGAATTAAATAGGATATTAAATAAGAAAGCCCAGAAATAGCCACAGGAAAGAAACGAGTTATAGGTTAATACCCAGAGACCCCTCTTGTCGCCCTTACCGATATGTGGTTAGTAGGAAGAGCCAGAGCCCCTAGAACCACGTACAGGGGAGGGATCGAGGGTCAAGGGAAGCCCGGTAGATACTGCCGGACGAATATAAGAACGGTTATACGAGAACAGCCAGAAACGAGTTATAGAAACGGGCATTAAATAGGATATATTAGTTAGTTTATAGGATTAGGAATTAGTTGAAAAGGATCGGTAATAGCTATGGACGAGAAGGACGGAGATTACGTTATATCGTATGGGATTATTTCTTTCGTTTCTTACGGGAGCTACGCTTATTTTACCTGCCCGTTACAGTTCCTATTTTCCGATTGATCCCTATTATTTCTTAGTGGCCCTAATAGACCTGGCTCGCTCCTAGTTAATCAGGGTTAATCAGGAACAGATTAATCAGGTTAGTTACAGTTACAGCTCCGCTAGCTTAGTTCTTATTATCAGATCTTTCCTATTATTTCCTGTTAATCGTTAATTAAACTAGCTTAGCTCCTAGTTAGCAGCGATTAAACAGGTTTAGGATTAATTAGGTTTAGGTTTAGGATCAGGTACGGCTGCAGTCAGTCACCTACCCCACCACCCACTTATTACTGTTGCAATTATTCCCAGTTGGCCCTATTTCCTAACTTATCCTATTGGCCTTTAATTAAACTAGCTAGCTTTCAGTTAATCAGGGTTAATCGGGATCAGGTTAATTAGGTTCAATAGGAACGAGAGCCACCGCACCTATTATTATTAGAGTTTAATTACTCCTTGCGGATTAATTAAACTAGGGAGGCTGTAGTGGTGCGGTAGATCTAAGCTACGTAGCCTTTTCGATGTATATTTATATGGGTCGCGTACTTATATTTTCATCAGCTAGACTAAGACCTATAGACATCAGAGCCTACAGCTATTCACTCGTTTTCTTGCCATGCCTTTCTAGCCTTCCTCGTCTTGCCCTTTTCTAGTCTCCCTTTCCCAGCTGCCGTTTTCAGCTGGCCGATCAACCGATTACAGCTGTTTACAGCTGTGATCTTGGTTGATCGGCACTAGGCCAGTTGTTAGCAGTTGGGCAGTCCTTATTTCGTACCTCCGTCAGCGTGCCCACGCTGCTCCTGTTCAATATAGAATATTAACTTAAGTAAAACGGTATATATTTTCGCGGTAAGAGAGATAATTTTTTATATATATAGCGTAATTTCGTAGATTAATAAATTACTCGATAATTTAAATTCTTCCGTAAGTACGACATTCTTTAACTTAAAGCGATTCTATTTTAATTAAACTAAAGATAAATTAAAAAAATAAATTATAAGATATAGAAAAAAATAGGAATTATATAAATAAGAATAGAAACGTATAAATAAACGCGTTAGTAAATATACGTAAGGATCTTAAGGAATAATAGGGATACGTTAAATAAGAAAAACTCTATTTATCCCGCCGTTTTTATTAGGTATACGCATTTTTAGAGACCCATAGCGCGTTTTTTAGCCAGTAAAAATAAAGTTTCCCCGAAATGATACCCCTTTATAGGGTTATTTATAGGAGTATTTATAGGGGTATTTACAGGGGTATTTATAGGAGTATTTAACCTAATAATTAATCAGCATAACAGGGGGTTATGCGTATTATAACTATCCTCCGGATAGGATAATTTACCACAGCGTAGTTATATATGCCAGCTAATTTATTAAAGGAAACGATACCTCAGCATTTCAGTAAGTTCATTAGCAATCTCCCCTTTTTGACTCCTTGCAGGTGAAGCGATCTGAGGCATTGAGTAGCTGTCAAGATATTCCTTATTGTCCCTCGACTCCATACTCTATTCCATATGATCCACCACGGAGAGCAATCGAAAAAATACCACGTGATTGCCAATCTCCCCATATCCAAGTACATGGGAACTCTGTTCTCAGGGAATGGGTCATTTATAGATATGTTACGCTGCAGCTCATGTAGGAAAAACACCATATATATAAGGAACCAGTACGATTTAATGACTTCGCTTAGGAAGCGACTGTATAGAAAGCGAGTAACTAAAGGCAATCGCTTCAAACAACAATAGCCCACCATCCAGCGAATGAAGTAAACCAAGTATCTATACAACAACCAATAATGATCCTTACTCGGAACTACCAGAGAAGTCAAACGTCGACGATACTCAACTCATTATCTGGCTAACCAAAAAACCGCTTAATTGCAAGGAGGCTCGGATGTAGCCAGGAATCCGAACCGTGCATGGTGATTATATGCGTGTGGTATCCCTTTTCGAGGCTCTCAAAATCAAGATATTCCGGGCCAGTGGGCAACTAATGGAGGTCAGAAATCACTGAACTAATAATCAATATCGCAAAAGCATACCCAGTGTTCGGGGCGATTCCATACAGGATTGCCCGGCTTGTATGACGTTACCCAACCTTGTCTCGTGGCGGTCGTATCGACACTCGGGGGTGTGCCCGGCTTGTATGACGTTACCCAGCCTTGTCTCGTGGCGGTCGTATCAACACTCGGGGGTGTGCCCGGCTTGTATGACGTTACCCAGCCTTGTCTCGTGGCAGTCGTATCGATACTTGGGGGGCTGTCGGGCGTACGGATGTCGATGTTGAGTCCCTATAAAACGTAGTCTCGTGAATAAAGTTAATTACTACAGATAAAAAGGGCTGAATTTTTACCTCAGAATGTAAAGAAGGTGCTATAGCCATCGAAGCTACGCCAGCAAAAGGGGTCACAAGTATAGACCACTTCATCCTGGGATACCAGTATACGGCAGATGATATCGCGAATTCTCTCTGTGCGGCAAATATCTCACACTAGTATTCTGCAATGAAGCTAAGAGAGGACTATGCGTTGAGAATCTCACGTTTGTCCTTTTAGGAACTATCAAGGTGATTTCCTCCCTAATATATTCACATGCCTCACAAATACTGCATAGCATCCGTACCCGGTTCTCTGCTTCGTTCTGTCAACCACAGAGCGGACAACATGCTTCCCCCCCTTCTCGCTCTTTCCCCCTGGGTATGCAAATGCCGACATGAAATGCCGCCAGCCAAATGTCGTAGGGGTAATACCGCATCCTTTCCATTGCTGTCTCAGGGAGTTGAGCAAGGCTTCTTATGCGGTTGGCTGCAAGACCTTTTTATGGACGGACCCACCCAAATGTAAAAGTCCATTGCAGTTGGAGGCTAGCAGACGCAGGTTAGGCCACCGGGCGTATTTTAGCAACCCAGACGACTGTCTATCTGCTGTTGGTGTAAATGTGCATAATGAGCTCTCCGTACAGACTCATCTAGGGTATTTCGAGAGTCCCCATGAGTATGAAAGGGCCAAATTCCAGCTATTCTCTGTCATGCGACTCTGTCAACATTCTATTACGAATCTACTCCATTGCGACGATGTCCCAGAGCACGCAATACGTTCGCCTCAGGAATCTGAGCTCAGGAGACACATGCGTGGACAACAGAACACACTCTAGCAGTCAGCAATCTACAACCGGCCACCGGACACACCGGCATTACACGATCCCTCGGCCAGCCATAACAAGAATCGTCTTCTTCGTCTCTGTACTATTAAACTTCTTTTTGATGGGAAAAGTCTTCCTCTCAAATACCGCACGAAACCGAATCTTGACTTACTGTGAGCTCAGAATTACCTCGATATACTTCCACTAGTTCAGATATCGTTAACCATTGCCAATGCCCCGAGCATAACAATATAGCCCCAGCCTTACCTGCTGTTCACTATGAACAGGTCGTGTTTTCAAGCGGTTTCGGGATTGAACAATCCCCGTTCCAAGGCGAACCGTCGGAAGAAAACAACAAACTCTGGGCTGGACTTTATGATTGTGAGCCACCAAACAAAATTACCACGTCATCATAGCCATTCTCTAACTTGAAACCCAGTCGGCATCACGAGAATAAGCGCAGACGAAGCGCGGCCAATGGACAACAAAACTCTCCCTATCCCGGGTCCGCAGGGAGGATACGTTGTCCAACTATCCGTCTTCCATCAACTTCACTGCTTGGTAGGATTACCACACAAGACCATATGAGAAAGTTCGGACTGACACGTCGTACAACTCCAAGAACATGATCAGGAAAGGCATATATGGTGCTGTTGACATGACGAACGAAGATGATCTGCTGGGTATAGAGCATCTTGATCACTGTCTCGATATGCTCCGGCAGAGTATAATGGTTCGTCATTCTTAGTTGTGTCCCAATCCACAGCACAGAGTATTTTCCATGTAAGCTAACGAGCTGCCGCCGACATGTGTAGTGCACCAGCGACATAACCCCTACAACGTTTGCACGTACCTCTCCTCATAGTAGTATGAAGGTTGTCGCCGAGGTTGTGCACACTTGTCGTAATTTCGCCAATATTCAGCAATGGGCATGGAATAGACGACTTTCGACGGAGCTAGATAAGGATACGTTGGTCACGGACGATCCCCTAGGCTGGGGAACTTACACATACTCGCCTTGAGCGGTGCTTACAGTGGGCTTATACAAGATGTAAAAAACGACTTATGTCGATATCAGGCCTTCCCATTTAACTTGCATCACGTAGATCAGGGAGAGCTACGTATGTTAGTGCGTGAGCACGCGCGAGGAGCTATCTCACAAGTAACGGAGGATGAAGTAGTGGAGAAAAGGTCATGTTTTATTTATGTCACGTAGTAATTAAGCCAGCCCTTATTTGCCTACATACCGCACAGCATAATGTAGGCGTCTACGTTTTACGCGAAAATTTAAGAATTAACCAAAGGAATGGAGGTAATCAGAGCCTCTATATAGGAGCACCTGTTGCTGAGGTAAGTAACGAAGGGGAGCAACCTAAGGAGTAACCTCTACGTGACAACTTGAAAGGTCCTTCTTTTTTTCAACTTAGGTATTCGGCTTCTGGGGTAAAGCACTTGATATTAACTAGGTAGTGCTATGCACACATAATAGTAAATGGCTAACATCTGTTGAATGCCCTAGTTGTTACGTTTCCAGATAGTTGCGTACCATGCTCAGAATCGTACTCCTATTTTGAGTCTGATATTTGTAAGAGCTTTCTCCTCACCCCATCTACCCAGTTGTTACATTTCCGCATACACGCCAAGCTCAGAATCATGCTCCCACACCCAATCTGATATTTGTGAGAAATTCCTACACATATGACTTGTCGAGACGCGGGCTTCGGGTTGCTCCTGGCTGCCGAGATCAGTGTAAAATAATAAGCCAGTCGCGCTATTGCACATGAGCACCTGTCGTAGCAGGTCTATGCAGTGATCTGTTCATAATGATATCTTAACAAATTGCTCCATAGGTAGCGGTAGTTGATTCAACTCACCAACGTGTTCCCAGACCATCTCGGGTGGATCCTGAAAAGTATCAATATGTTGATAATGGTCTCGCCAAATGAACTTTCGAGTTATGTCCAAGCAGTGAAGATGATGGAAAACTTCGACCGTTGCGTAGTAGTGATTATCAACACCCTTGGTGGGTTTTTTTGTCGGATCAAATGTCTGCAACGTTGTATAGTCTGCTAGTATCATAGGGTCTGTACTCGGTACACAGTAAGCCAACTGTATATGGGCGTTAGCAGGGCACATACGATCGACTAATTTTTCCCAAGCTTCATCAAGCTCCTTACGAGGCTCTCCTTTGTAAATGGATGTAGCGAAGAGATCAGCATCGAATGTAATTAGGCTTTTCGTCGCTAGCCCTTCCAGGGGATCTTCCGCGTCATTAGCTCATTAGTATCAGACTATAATGATCAAAGAGCAGATTACCGACAGTTGTCAAGAGCACTCTTCTGATGCCCGCCATCCCAAGATACCAATGTGTGCTGTGGGCATGTGTGTAGTTGACGGAGAGCCCATAAGTTCAGAAAAGCAGCAGAGCAAAACAGAACCGCATGGAGACACACAACACCCCTGCTTATTCGATTGGACGAGTATCTTGTGGTGCGGGCATCCATTCCGAGCAACTACCGCAATAAGATCTTCGATAATGAATGCAAATGATCGATCCTATGGTTCGTTTTTTCCCCAGGGCAAAGGAGTGGTGATGTAGACATGTTGTAGGAGCGGCGACTAAATGGTCCTGCACGTGCTCACGTCAAGAAAACTCGCTCGGCTATGGTTCCTGTTGGGAATTCTCGATTTTGTCGTTTCTGTCTTCTGCACTCGTCCCCCCGGGATAGAATGGTAAGTCTGGCAAACGCCGTGGGTGGCCTTCACCTCAGCCAACTCGTCTTTCCCGGTAGGGCAATGTGGGCTCCACGATAAGCGCGTTCCATGGCATGCTGCGTGTGTCATTTGGCCCTTTCCATTAGCCCTAGCCGGGCGGTATGCATCAGAATACAACAATAAATGCTTGGCGTTGAAAAGAATAGGATCGTGGCAACGCGAGGCATAACCCGTGATGGCACCACAGCCATTGATGGCCAACCAGATCCGCCTCCGCAGCTTGTCGCCGAGAGCTGTGAACCTTGGCGGCATCCAGTCGAATGCTCACCCTAACGGAAACAAGATCTAGCGAAAAGCATGCCACACAATGCGTCAGAGAAAAGCAGGATCTGTGTAATGGTGGGTATATTTAATATATTAAGAACTATATGTGGGCGACAACGAAAACGAAATGCAGTTGGCATCTCGTTAACAACCAAGGATCCATAATAACTCACAACTCTGACTAGACAGTGGCCAGCACACAGCCTCGAATAGCAGAGTAGTATTATCATGACTACAAATCATCCCTGAGAATACTGCAGTTTTAATCAGGCACCTTGCATCAAACTAAAACCTCCAATTCACAAACTAATCTATCAAGGTTGGTTTATGACATGCTTGAATCAGACAGAAGAATATTCATGAAGCTGCATGAGGAATGTAAAGAGATTCGCCCGTGAACCACTCAAATGCTACTGCCTCTAAAGTAACTAATAGCGCGACGAAGCTATTTCTTTTTTTCCACAAGCTGTAAATCAGACTAGAGCACGGTCGTGCGACATCAAGACAAAGGCAAAAGAGCTACATGGGATACAATAACGGCCTTGAGAGATGTGGAGTGTTGCGTTTTAATTCATTATATTAGAGGGTTACCCAGTCCGAGATTCAATACGCTTTGGCCCCTAGTATGTTAGGTACTTGTCGATACTACAAGGATCGCCCATGATTTTTGGATCGTACAATAATGACATTCATACGTTGGTTGAATGATGATCAGGCTTGGCGGCCGAAACCCTGAAAGAGGGCGATTGCCATGGTGGAAGAATAATTGGCTGACACGGGTTATCTTTCAATGCAGAGTAATAACCTCCCAACTGCATACACAGTAGTCCCCGATGCGACTTGATCACCGGGGAACGAAGTAGCGATACCCACATGTACGGGGCCGGACTACCCCAGAGGGTAACTAACGCCGATGTGCAAAGTCCTATTATAAATGTTCACCAGAATTCCAATTGGCCCTTGTATTGACACTACCTAGGTAGTAGTATTCTGTTCTGAACCCATATCGGATACGTCCTCTGAAGCCAAGGTAGCATTCGCAGCAACAACCCCCCCCCCCCCCCCCCCACATTCTAGCCAGCGCGCTTGGAGATTTGAGACCATCATAACAATCATATTCCTGCCCAGCTAACGACGTCGAGATGATTCCCCACGATGTCACTACAGTTTTGAATTATTTTGAGGACAATGAGTACCGCTCTCCGTCTGCTTCGACTTATGTCGATAAGATAGAGACATATGCCAGACCTACCAAGCCACAGGAGACTGTAATCCACGATATCCGTGGAAACGAGTCTCAGTACACTTTAGACACGAAGGGGTTCCAAATCGTCAGGCATAGCAGTGCAGAGAAAGATTTCCTAGATGACGAGAAGATAAAACACATCTACTACCCCGAAACAGAGGAATTATTAAAGAAAGTGTAAGTATACATACACCTATCAAGCTTGCGAGGTATTAATAGATGCAGCACCGGAGCCTCCAAAGTCTTCGTCTATAATCACACGATCCGCAAGCCAATCGAGTCTTGCGCCAACCCTAACAACCCGAGCAAGCCCCTCACTCCCCGCGGTCCCCTCCACCGAGTTCATATCGACACATCCTACGTCGCAGGGCCCAAGCGTGTTTCTCACCACTTACCCAGCGAATCCCCCACTCTCCTCAAGGGTCGATATCAAATAATCAATGTCTGGCGACCCATCAAGACGATCTTGAAAGATCCTCTTGGTGTTGCGGAAGCCGGCTCTGTTCAGGATTCAGACCTTGTTCCGATTAAATTGGTTTATTCGGATAGGGAGGGAGAGAGCCCAGAGCACAAGCCGGATGAGGAGGGGGAGATGTTTTCTGTGAGAGCGAGTTTAGAGCATAAGTGGTGTTATCTATATAAGCAGACGCCTGAGGAGGTGCTGCTGATCAAGTGCTTTGATTCGAAGACGGACGGGAGGGCACGGAGGGCGCCGCATACGGCGTTTGTGAACAAGGAGCATGAGGATATGCCAAAGAGGGAGAGTATCGAAGTTAGGACGCTCGTGTTCCATCCGGATGATACTGAGTGGGCTAAATGACGTGTATTGGAAATACACTGCATTCTATAGTTTCACGAAATATAGCGGGATTATCTGCGAGTTCAGACTTGTCAAGTGATTCACATTTATCCACATAGCAACCTATCACTCACCATCACCATCAGCTATCCGGTCTGGCCCCTTCCTTTAACCTTCTCTCATCGACATCGTTCTTCTCTTGTGATTATTCCAGTCTAGAATCCCATGTGATCCAGTAAGCCCACAAGCTTACTCTCGCTTCTGCGTCTTAAATCCATCCTGTGATCTTCCTCAGGATTCAATCTCAGATAGTCCGCATTAGCCAAGGTCCAAGGTAATAGAGTGCCCAAGACTTCGTCAACATCCGCAATCTTATCAATCCCTTGAATGGAGCTGGGTCGTTTTACATCCAGTTTCTGCAGCTCTTCATCCCATGCCCGCGCGAGCTCCCAATCAACTCCTGGACCATTGCTGGACGCTACCGCCACTGGAAGAGGTGAAGGAAACTGTCCGGTAAGTTTAGCATTCCGAAGCGCTACTGCCTCCTTTTCCTCTAGAGTCGTCGCGCTTAACCAGCCGCTAAGCCGGCCGCCGGTGCTGTTGAAAGAGCGGAAGAACTCATATGCAGGGTGTAGGATGCTAGCGAAATCGTAATCGAGAAGTGCTGTTATACGACCTGTCGTAGGATCGTAGAGCAGATTGTCAGTAGCTTTATATAAGTGTCAGTGCTAAGATTATAAAGGCCGGAGTAATAGTGAACGATTCCGAATGAATAAGAAAGGAAGATACCAACTGAAGTCTGCGTGTATAATAGTCCTGTCGTGCTTCGATGTTAAGTCGGAGAATTGTGCTGCTAGGCCACGCTCGATAAACGCATCAACGCGTTCTCTGACACCGTTGGCATGCCACCCTTGCAGATACGGGTTCGTATCGGCTTTGCTGAGTGCTACTTTCAGGCGGCCTCTATAGGAGTCTTCGAAAGAAGGCCACGGTCCGGCACCGACGCTAGGCATGGACGTGCTAACTATAGCACCGCTATTGCCATCAAACGTTACACCTCCCCAGCCATTGATGCTCTCGGGAAGTAGGTAATCCTGCAGCGCCTTTAGCAATCTCGCCATCTGTGCCAGGATCTCTCTCTTCTGAACAAAAGTCATGGTTTTATCAAACGGCTCGGCAAGTGGTACGCCAGGCATCAGTTCCTCTAGGATCCAGCCTAGATGATCGCGACTAGCGCCATCCCAACCGAAAACACGGGGGACTACGGTAGGCTTGATATGGCAGAGAGCAGCTGAGGCGAGAGTAAGGATGCCGACTTCATTCTGCACTCGTGTTTCTTGGTGCATGCCCTCAGCGTCCGGGTTGCTTAAACGTAATATGAAATCCTTGGTGCCGGCTGGGATGGGGACGCAGCCTGGGTGCTTTAGCTTGCGACTTCCATCAGCATCCCCGAGGCCGCCGGGGACACCGGTAAGAAGCGAGAGGTGGTAAACGAAATTGTTGTACTTGAAAGGGAAGTCATGTTCGTATTGGATTGGCGTGATCTTGGTTTGCTCTATGACCTGTTTAGAGTCATCGTCGTTAGATATTATTGCAAGTTCGGAAACGACGGCTTAGCTATGAAGCGGAGAAGCTCGAGGTAAACTTCCTACTAGCTTAAGGCCTACCTGATTAGGGAGATTCAAATAATCTGCTAGTATTTGCTTGATGTAATCGAGACGCGCCTGGTAGTGTGTGTGATTGTGAGAAATAGTCGCCATGGCAAGTACTTATCAGGTCAAAAATCTTGAGTGGCGAACGGTGAGGGGTGAGGTTTGCAGTAAAGAGATGCCTGGGTTCTCTGAGGGTTTGTGTCTGTCGGGTTATTACGGTACTTGAATCCCTCTCAAAAGGCAAGGCTCCTGTTGAGGGTCAAGATGATGAATTGATTATGAGACCCTGTAGGTGCGGGGCCGGTCATGCCAACTTTTCGTGCCGACCCTTAGCTTGAAATAAGCTAGGGTACCCCTCTACGAGCCACCCCTTCACGGACTACTGCGTTAGGATCTACGAACGCGCCTTTTAACGCGACTCTCTTACTTAAATAACCTATAATTTCTCGGTTAGTTTTAATCTTTAATAATTCCTTTATTATTAATCTCTTCCTATTTTTCTATTAATTAAGATAATCTAATATACTAAGATTAAACCTACGCCATAGTCCGAAATAGGCCAGAGTCTTACGAAGGTAATTAGTCCATGAAAATAGCGAAACGGTTATAATTACGTAAGCCGCTCTATAAAGCTATACGAAGCTATACGTTACGGTAAGTATACGTATATATATATATAACTACGTATATAAACGTATATTATGTTATATTTAGGCTATAAATACGCATACCTAGGTATAGAGATCATTATTATATAATACGGTATATACGCGTTTACGTTTATCTATACTTATTCGTTTACGCGAAAGAGTTTTTTATACGCGTTCTTAATAATACGCGATTATAATATAAGTAATCCGTACGGGTTTAAAGATTTAATAATCGATAATATACGCGTTTTATTATTGTTCTATATATTATAAGGTTTATATACGTATTCGTATATCTTTATACATATTCTATTATTTCTATATAGGCTTTATTATATCTATTATTTAATATACAAAGTATTGCTAATATCGTCTAGAAATAGACTTTATAAAACGAATATATAGCAATAGTAATTATTATAAAACCTATCGGGCCTACCGAGATTAAAAACGAAAATAACCGTTATAAAATCTAGATCTTAATACTAGGTAATTACGAAACCGCGCGGTTATAGACGAATCTAATTAGAATCGAAAGACTTAAAATAAGAAACGACGAAGAAATCTAATAGTATCTCGACCTACGCCTCTTCCTACGTTACCGACCTAATCATTACCTCCTATAGTATTACTAACCCGACTACTTACTCCTCTTATTATATCGCCGACCCGATTTTTCCCTCCTCCTATACTAAATATACGAAGTCGCGCGGCGTCGGCCCGTCTAAATATTACTATTTACAAAGACGCTACCTTTATTATACCCTTTGTTTTAATTAAAAATATTCCGAACTAGCTATATCTAAAGTAGATTCCGTTAAACGGTATTCGTATAGCTAGGTACGATATAAGTTTATTAATAGCTATTTAATATAAATATTATAACGCTTTATATTAAAGAAACGAATAATTAAAGAGCTTAACAGTAAAAGACGTAAAAGTAATGTAGTGGTGCGGTAAGACATACCCTCTTAATGCATTACGTGATACGCTACGATAGGCCTTATACCTATATAGAGTAACCATAGCTCCCGTAAGTACGGAACATACTATGCTTATCATTTAGTTCATTACCGAATTAGATTACTATCTTTATTATTTTTACCTTAATTAAAGATTCGTTTTTATTATTAGATTTATCGTTCTTCGATTAGTATATTTATTTTAGTTATAGGCGCTTAAGTTACTTCGTCGTACCGCTATAACCAAATAAGTAACTTTTACGTTTTACCCCTTTTCTTTCCTTACCTTTTATACCTTCGGGCTAGCGATTATTATATCTCTACGACTAAGAGGCGTAGTTAAGATACGATAATTATATTAAATTCCTTACCTCTTAATTAGTATAGCGATATTAGTTTTATCCGTCTTAGACTATCGTACGTACTATAGTCTTCGATAGAGTATACTTTCGAATAAACCTATCCGGGTCTTTAGTATCGCGTACGCTCTACTCCTCCTTAGTAGCGACTACCTTATAACTTTTTCGAACCTCGTAACCTTAGTTTACGGAGTTTCTATTACGCTATTAGGATTTAAAGGATACCGATCGCCGTCGGCGCCGCTATTTAACCCGCGAAGTAGTCCGCGTTTTACGTAAAATAAAGTATTCCGCCTTATGGTTATTTATCTACTATAGGGAGGTACGTATAAGCCCGGGAGCTTTTACGACGATATTACTATTACTAGGATACTACCTAGCCTTTAATACTTATAACGTTATTAAGCTATCGATATTACGATTTAATACGACGAATAGATAGCGCTTATAACGATTAACGTAAACCTCGTATAACCTCTTACCTACCTATAGGGAGGTATCCGTAAGCCTAGGAAACTATCGTCGTAATACTACCGCTACTAGGGATAGTACTTAGCCCTCGATACTAACCGCTTTCTCGAACCGCTAATAATATAGTATATTTCGTACGAATAAATAAAGCTTATAGCGATTAAAGCAGCCCCCTTATAATCATTTACCTACTATATAGAAGACGTACGAACGTCTTAATATAAATTACGATAACTTATACGACCCGTTACTCCTTTATTAATACAAAGGATAGATAAAGGCTAATAATAATTATACCTTAACCGACCTTACGATAGCTTTTTTTTCCCTCTAAACCTACTAATCGATATAGATTAATATATAGATATTAATAACTTATTATACTAAAGGTATTTTAGGATACCTAGGCGTAGCGATTCGACGATATAGTATACGATATAATATAGATATTTACATTAATAACATAGATAGGATTAATAGATTAATAACTACTAATAACCGATAGTTTTAAGGAGAATTAAGAATTAATATTAATAGGACTACGTAGATATAAAGGATTAAGGAAACGGAACTAGAATCGAATTAATAGGTATATCTATATATAAGCTAGCCCTATATTACTAATTAATAACTAGTATAGCGAGAAGTACTAACATAGGCATAAAACGGCGCCTAGCGGTAATACCGTTAATATTATTAAATAGCTCCTATTAGATTGAAACCGGCCTATGGCTATAACCGGTATCGTATTTAACGCGATCCTCTACTCGGGATCTATCCTTTATACGTATTACTTTAACGAAGGTTATACGTTAGGAGTTCTAAACTTTAATAAGAGGAATTATCGTTGACTGATTTATAATAGTTAAATTATTAATTTAGGAAATACGTATCGTATTTTAATTAGGCGTTAACCGACTAGAAAAGCTCGTATAATATCCGGACCCTATCAATCGGGATAATATAATAAATAGTAATATATCCATACTAGAGGAAAAGTATTAGGATATAGATAATAGCTATCTTACCTTTACCTTTATATTAAATAATAATACGTAGATCGGGAGAGCTACGTAGGCACTAAGGTTGCTTCTTAGGAGTAACAGAAGGTGGAAAGAAGAAGGTAAATTAACTAACTATTTAAGAAGGAAGGAGATTAATAAAGGAGATACGAGCTACCTATATATAGACGATAGGAAGCTACGAGCTATATTATATAAGCGAGCTAGAAGCTATATTAGGTAAGCGAGTAACTCGAGAAGAAGTAAGGAGCTATATATAAGTAGCTCTTTATATAATATACCCCCTAGCTAGGCTCGCGATAGCGAGCTTAGCTAAATAATAATAATAGCTTAGCCGAAAGACTCGCGATAGTTAGCTTAGCTATCCTCTTAATTAAAGTCCTAGGTTAACTTAAGCCTTATTCGCCTTACTAGCTCTCCGGAGTAATATATTCGTCGCTTTAGTTACTTACGCCTTTATATAATACTTCCAATAGCTTAAAATATCCTCTTAATTAGCTATTATATTAGCTCTTCCTAATATCCTAATAAAAGAGATATATCGTAGCTCTTAATTAAGTATTTCTACCGTATTCGTTATACGTTCGCGAGGGCTCTTATTACTTCGCTTTATATTATTATTATCGCACGCGAACCCTCTCGTAGCTTTACTAGGTTAGTACCCGGTAACGCTCCCCCTTATACTTAAGCTCCTATACTATAAGAGAAAAATCTCCTACTCTTTCGTAATAGCTCTCTCCCTTTCCTCTTTTCTTTTATAGAGGCATATCCAGAGCTAATCCGATACGCTCGTTTTTAATTCCCTATCATTCTCGGTTACGTATATAACCTATATATTACTTTATTCGCGCGTACTTTATTTAAGTAAGTCCTTTTTTAATTACGGTACTTCCTTACTATCGTTCGCTATCGTAACGAACTTATGGTAATATATTAACGTAAGTTATATATTAATATAATAAGCGCGAGAAATAAGATAAGCTTACGCTCTAGTAATATTAATACGGGTATAAGTAATTAAAAGCTAATAGTTCGATAGAATATCCGACCGTCCTAGCTCTTACGAAATCCTTACTAGTATCGATAGCGCGGTTAAGATATTAAGCGATAAAATAAATTAATTCCGTAACTACGCCTAAATATTCGTCGAAGAGCGAGCTTACGACCCCGCTATACCCGACTAAGGTCCGGCCGAGTACGTAAAGTTAATTACTTAATCTATCGTAATAAAGAGAGCTACCGCTATCCTAGGTATTCCCGCAGCCGCTAAGATTATTTTAATTACTACTTCTAGCGCCGCCGAAAAGCGACGTAATATATTCCTCGACGTTATTATCGATCGCGTAAATAGCTTTACCTACGATATCGCGGTTAATATATATATTTCGGTAGTTATTATAAGTAGCTTCCCTTTTAATACCGGTATTAATAATCTTTTTATATACCGCGATAAAGGAAAGTAATTTATCTATCGATATATAAGTTAGCTCTTATATTATAGTTATTATAAGTTATAAGCCTTTAATTAATTATCTACTTTAGATTTCCGGCCGAGGTTTAATTATAGTATAAAATATTATAGAATTACGCTCCCTCGAACGTCGTATAGCCCGCCGTATTCCTTCGCTCCCTAGAGCTTTTCCCGTTATTCTAAAGTCTAAGGCCGTATCTCGTAAGCGGATTCGTAAGGAAAATAGCTCTAAAAGTAAGGCTCGTAAGTAACGAACTTATTATATTAAACGGAAATAAGTACGTAAAGATTTAAAGCGAAAGGGGGTTTATCGCGTTATTCGTAAATACGGAGCCATAGAACTAAATAATAATAATAATACTTCCGAGTTTATACCTCGGGATATAGAAACTACGGATAGCTTTATAAAAAGCGACTCCGGAAGCGACTTAAAGG